ACTGATGTTGGATAACCTAGCGACCCTCCTGTAAACTGTCCCATAGATCTGGAACACCATGAATGTAGATAATTTTCTGGGAAATCATAGTTGTTTCAAGATCTACATTGGTTCTAGGGTAACTAGTTCGATTCATACCTAGCATAAACATAACACCCAATTTTCCTAAATAAATATGACACTGGGGCACTACCTTGAAATACGCAGCCAGTTGCCAGCACTAAGGAAACCAGCGCCAAAGGCACCGATGGTGATCCCACCAGAAGAGATGGGGATATGTGATGTATGTCTGATATGTGTAACATATTCATATTTGAATATATAGACATGATATGTCATGTACAAACGTACAAAGTGAATTATAGTAGGTGATTGGTTTCAATGATGGTGCAAAAAATGGTTTGAAACTGCCAACCAGGAATGTCTGGCCACGGGAAGAGGTGCTTTGATCATAGGTGGTTTGAACGAGACACTTCCAACTACTCCTTTACATAGATTCTAGTACTATTGAAATGTGTTCATAGGAATATTCGCACTTTCATGTATCATTTACATATCTTACACATACACAAACCCCAACACATCAACATAAAATATAAGTAAACATATACAGTAGAATACGCATGTCATAAACCATGTAAATACGTATAGTATTCCAAAAAGGAAGGGCATGTAATGTACGAATCATATAGCGGGATTTCACTTATCTATCCTTTTGGGGATTGCTATATGGTGTATATATATATATATATACACATATGATTTGATGTACATATAGTACAGAATAATTTACTGCAATATACTGTAATATAATGCTATATAACGTGTTATAATGTAATATAGTTTTTTTTGATATAGTATAACTTAACATAACATAATATAATACAACATAATATAGTATAATTTAATACAATACAGTATAATAGAATATAATAAAATACAGTACGAAACAATAGAACATAATATGTTACAATATAATATATTACAATATAATATATTACAATATAATATAATATATTACAATATAATATATTACAATATAATATAATATATTACAATATAATATAATATAATATAATATAATATAATATAATATATATTTAATATAATATAATTTCACATAATATTATACGACATACAACAATATGTATACATATACAATATATATATATATTTGTATATCAAACACCTCCATACTTAATTATGACAGTCATAAACCATACATTTCGCCAGGATTGCGCCCCTCTACGCCTGCGGATCTTCGGCTACGCTGGACGACCCTGGCATGTGCTCAAGGCACCGGTGAAGCTGGTGGGGCCGAGCCCGAACCATGACCAGTGGCCTTAAAAAAGTGGTTGAATTCTATGGTTTATGGATGTTAATGATACATAAGTAGTGATATAACATGATATAACTATAGTATGGTTGGATGTTACATTATATGAGTTGATATAAGTGGTTTATGGTAGATATAGCTATACTTAATGGATGTTAATGGGGTTTATAAACCAACTTACATCACTGGGGGGCAGCATCCTGTAGGGATGTTACCAACAATCTATGATTTGGGTGTGTCTGAAAAATAGGGATGGCTACCCCGCTATTGTAGCCATTTTACTGAAACTGATGAACTCTGATTAACCATTGAGTTTTCTTTTTGGTGCACTATTTTCAGACAACCCAATGAAATCACATGGAGGTTTCCTAAGTCGTGGGACCTCCAAATCATCTTTAGTATTGAAACCTATGGTGACTTGGGGATCTCCTATTTTAAGACAGGAAAATTTCCGTCGTTTTTCACACTAGGGTGATTATCCCAGGGTTAGGAACTGATTCAATTCAACATTTATCAAACCGTCTTGTTTCATATCCATTTTTTTCAAGAATGGTGAAGATCAATATGAACATAATTAGTCGAACCACATTTTTTCCATGTTAAACCACGATTTATCCTTGTGCTCCCACCATGTATCCATGTTAAACCACCATTTTCCCATATGTTTCCCACGGTTCTTCCGAGATTTTCCTGGTATTTTCCGGTGAGGCCGTGGCTTTCCGTGGCGCCACCTTTGATGCCATCGATGCGCCCAACCTGCACGAGGGCGTTGGGCTGCTAGGCGCGGTGCAGCGGTGGAAAAAAGTGGCTATCAATGGTCATTAATGGCTGGTTGGTGGTTTGGAACATGGCTGGATTATGACTTTCCCATCATATTGGGAATATTGGGAATTTCATAACCCCAACTGACGAACTCCATCATTTTTTCAGAGGGGTTCAAAGCACCAACCAGATGGTTTCTAATGGTTTCTGATGGCCTTGGGGCCTATCAAATTCTGATCTCCATAAGTTGGAAGATAATCCTACATAATCCCTAACAACTATGGTGAATTTACCTTATGGTAATTTAATCAACAACAATGGGAATATGATGGGGATTTCAATGGGGATTCAATGGGATTTAGCCTCTGGTCAAATTGACCTAGCTATGGAACTTTGGCCATTCTTAATAGGTAAATCATCGAACTAAATGGTCCATTTTCTAAAGCAAACTGTTAGTTTACTGGTGATGAATGGAGATTTTATGGTGATGAATGGTCAGTTATTTTAGGGATCTCATGGGATTTTACTGGGTCAACCGACTGGTTTGATACGAATCTGAATTGCTATCAATGGTAAAATGTAGTGAGGAAACATGATATTTTTGGACAAGTCTCTACGATTCACCACGGTTAATGGTCAATTTTAATGGGATTTCATGGAGAGATTTCATGGGATTTGAATGACATTTCACGGGATTTTATGGGTATATTACCCTCCAGTACACGTTTACATAACCATGGAAAGATCCACCATTTTTTATGGGTAAATCCATGTAAATCCACTATTTCGACTGGGCCATGGCTTCAATGTCGCAAACTGTGTTCATGTTTACTAGAGGGTACATGGGATATCACCAACAATGGTTGAAGAAAAATAGCTACCCTCTGGGATTTTCCTGGAGATTTCATGCTAGCGATGGTAATGATGACTGAACTCACCATGGGAATCAAAGATGGCCGGGATAAACCAATAAACCATGGTAATATTTCATCATAAATCCCATTCTAAGGAAAAAATGGTTATCTTTCCAATATAAGTTCATCTAACCACAAAAATAGGAAATACACATATATATATATATAGATAAGTTAACTAACTATTTATATAAATGGATCTATATAACCATTTAATGGAATCCCATGTTTCCAATTCAATTTCACCATTCTCCACGAATTCAGGATGCGCGAGGTCATCGCACAAAAAACGATCATGGGCAAATCTCAACTACCTTCATTGCGCTGTAAGGGCGAAGTTCAGGAAGCAGCTATGAAAAAAGTGGTTTGAAATCCTAGTGCATATCAACATTTACCAACAACTACTTATATAAGCAGCATAAGCGAGATATTTGATATGTGTAATTATTAAAAATGTCATGAAGATATTAGCCAACAAGCACTAAGGCACTAAGGGCTATATTAACCACGTCACCAAAGGCCGTGATCCCAGATTATCCCATGATTTCCCACAGCCTGGTTGTTTCTAAATAACATTTGTACCAGAAAAAAACTGGGATTAAGATGGATTAATAGTGCAAGTGATTGAAGTAATAATCCATCACTTTTTTTTTGCAAGTGAAATTCCTCATCCACAGCCATTGATGGTACATTGATTCCCCATGACATCCATAGCCTGCCGCATCTGCAGGTCTCTCAACGTGGTTCGACATGTTGCTAAAGCAAGTCCCGCACAGCCCCTTGGATCCCTTGGACTAGGAGTGGTTTGATCCGCCACTGGCAGAATCACCAAGGAAGAATTCACTGGGAATTCCAGGAATATTCACCCAGGAATATGGTAGGTACCTCCAATTTAGATTCCTGAAATGGCCATTGAATAATGGACTGGGGCCTTTGAGATGCTGATGGTGACATAAACCTCCCAGCAATCAGCTCCATGGCTCAAAGTGGAGGCTAAGTTCGCTGAGAACATCATCAAACTAAATGGGGGATTTTCCAGGATTCGCCCGTTTTGATGCCACCGGAGGGTAACCCAAATCCTTACCCAGTCATTGAGTATGTAATTCTTATAGGTTTCCTCCATCTTCTCCCCATTGTATAGGTCCTGATGTTTGAAATCCGTGAGCAGCAAAACTGGCATCCTGAGGTTACATCCAGACTAGGCATTGTGAGGACCGGCTCCGTTGGGCAGTGGAGGGAGGTTGAACTCCTCCATGCTTTCTGCTAGAGTATCCATCAATCCACTGTCGGAAACTGGTTCTAATGTGATTTCTGCTAATATTTCTACTTTTAGTGTGTGAGCAGCCCCATTTCATTGCAAAGTCCCAAGGATTCAGGGCTCGTTTCATGATACATGGTGGGTATCCAAGCAAAACATTGATGAGCAGTTTTCAAAACAATGCCCAAAGATTCCCAGAGTACAGAATAGTATAGGATGCAACGTGAAGTGCTGTTCGTTTTGTTTACATAATTTTCAAATAGAGGCTAGAATGCTGATAGCAAAACAATGTTTGCCAGAGCTCTATACGGAAAGACGTTGCCACAACTCTGTAGTTCTGTGGCTACGCAGGGTCAACGCATGAGTAGGTGAATTATGAGGCTAATCACTTCACTCAAGATTTGACATACTTTGTGCTTCAAATTCTCGAGCTTTCCAGGTCAAAGACTCCAAACAAATGGATGGTTTATATTGGACAATCCGAAAATAAAATGGATGAGAACTGGGGGTACCCCCATGACTTAGGAACCCCCCAAATACATTATTATACATTATCATACATTATTATATATTGTTATATCTTATTATTATCATCTATAATTAGTACTGTCAATCAAACATTGACCCATGGTGGATGATTGGAGCTGTTCCTTCAGTGAAGTCTCTCCATCTTGGCCACGAGGACTTTTTCGTTGATCGCTTGGAGCAGCACATGAGCAGCGAGTGGGCGCCGATGAGTATCCGAGCCGCCGTGCAAAGTCGTGGTGGCTACGATGTGAAGAAGTTCAGCAAGAGACTTGGCGGATTGGTCCATCCACCAGATTGGTCAATGTTTGAGTGACAGTACCAATTATAGATGATAATAATGAGATATAATAAGATATAATCAGACATAATAAGATATAATCAGACATAATAAGATATAATAAGATATAATAATATATAATATTGTATAATAATGTATAATAATGTATAATAATGTATAATAATGTATAATCATGTATGATAATGTATGATAATGTATAATAATGTATAATAATGTATAATAATGTATAATAATGTATAGTAATGTATAATAATGTAAAATAATGTATAGTAATGTATAATAATGTATAATAATGTATAATAATGTATAGTAATGTATAACAATGTATAATAGTATATAGTACTGTATATCATAAAAACACCATGGTAATAATGATCTAGCAATCATATATCATCAAAACAAGAGACTTGGTGGATGGGCCTGGATATATGTCGATATCCAGTGGTGATATGTTTATTATCCGATTGTGACAAATTGTGACCGAAAACCGACCTTGTTAATTTGATAATATAGATATGAAAGTCTGAAACAATACATGACGCAAAATTACGCATCTTAAGCAACAATGAAACTATATACTGTTTGTCCATGAATCCACCTTGGACTACCGGGAAGATTGTCAGACTTAGCTGTCAAACTGGGACCTTAGTGCCTAAAAGGGAACGGTAGACAGGTTGATCCAGAGCAATGGTAGAACGGTAGAATGGTGGATATTTGAATATAATATATAATAATATAGTATTGCCAACAATAAATGATCTATAACTAGTGAGAATATCATGAGATATAGCTGGGGAAACTAACTGGATGCATAGTTAGGTACTAACTGGCTTTTATACAACATGCTGCTTTGCAGGGAATCTCTGATTGGCCATGCCTTTCAAAACGGGATGGAAGCCTGCACAATTGGATGAAAGACGGGTGGTTTCGCCATTCATTCCAACCTCCGCTTAAAAGACATACTAAGCCACACCGACCTTTTACAAGCACCATATACTGTACCAACAAAATCATGAAAACACAAGTAAGTGGTATGAGTTTGGGTGAATAAAACAGATTTGGTTTGGACTGCGATATATAACAACACCTGAGCAGTGTTCAAAAGCCTGGTTGGTTGATGATAGGGGATTAAAATATACCCTTCATGTATTGGCTGGTTGGTGGTATGGAACTTTTAATATATTTTCCATATATTGGGAACAATAATCCCAACTTACGAACTCATATTTTTCAGAGGGGTAGGGTTGAAACCACCAACCAGATGGTCAATGGATTGGTTTAAGGGAAAATTTACAGGAAAACCCCATATTTAATGGGAAAATAACTCTGGTTTCCTGTAGATTTTCCCTTAAACCAATCCATTGAGATGGGAATTATAGCAATCCAATGGGGAATCCCCAGTGGAACCAACGCCCCCTGCTCCAAGGACCATGCCCGGCGCCTTCAACCGCAACGCCAAAGAGCTGGCGGGAATTTGGACGCGGGATGCCACTCAAGCTGAAGGGCTAAAAGTATTGGGAAAAGGCACTTAGGGATGATTCAATACTTCGTAGATTAAGGCAATTTATGGGATGAAGCATTAATTAACCAAAGTAACGATAGTTAATGGGGCTTAAGTCCCATAAATCTATTAATAGTAACCTCATTAATAGTTTTATTAATAGTAACTTAATGGTTTTCAAGCCAATAAATCCCTTCCCCTTCAACTTGGGGAATTGAGCCAAGCTGGGATCCACATGATAAACTATGTGGGAAATATAATAGGGGTATACTCGTACGCTAGACGAATCCCCGAACTAAATGGAGGTTCATAGCTGGGAAAATCATCGAGTATATTTATTAAATGCTGGAGTCATGACCAGATTGACTCAGTCTGACTTCATCAATGGGTCGTATTGCTCAAGATGTTATTGTTAAGCTGTTGTCAGATCATCGTGCTATTAGCCGTGTCGAAGCTTACAGCGAATGAGATTCAGTTTGTCAGAAGCCAGTTGGAAGTGCACCGCATGAGCCCTGTGAACGCGTTGCGGCATGCATTGCACAGTGGAATAGGCTGCCCTTAGCGAAGCTGGCCGACAGCATCAAGCAATTCGAGTGGTGCAACAAGCTGGGACACATCACCCCCAGCACCTTTTGCCGCTTCTTGTTCACAGCAAGATCAATCAAGACACCACAGAATGGTTTTTTGAGTTGGGTCGCTTGGATGATAACAATTTGTAAAGATGGCAAGCAAATCCCAGTGCCAATCCCTCTGGTCCCACCGAAAAACCGGCCGCGAACGCTGTGAAAACGCGACGGCGCTACTTGCAGCACAAAGAGTTCTCTCTATCATCGAGCCAAATGGTGGATTTTCCTGCAAGCCACGTTTGATGACACCAGAGGGTACATGACGTTTAACCGTCAAGCATAAGTGCAATCAAGAATATTAATATCATCATGCGGATATAAGTGGATATAAAGTGATAGATAAATGAGGTGTAAACCTACTTGAAGGATCCTCCTACTTGGTAATTGGCAAACAACCCTGGTGATCATAAGTCCCATCTGCTGGATTCTCCCACGCATATCCGAACTGACCCTACTTGCCACTTACGAAGTAGGGCGATATTCCAAGTAGACAGGTAAGTTGGTGGTAAGTTGGTGCAAATGACTAGGCTAACTAGGGTTTATGGGGGATATACCTTCAATGAAAGAAGCGATTTTCAATCAGCAAACATCACTTGGGGAGCGGGCGCACCACCTTTTAATACCTTTTAGGGGTGTACGCCCATCATGGGTGTCTTATGAAAGTGGATTAGGTGATGGGACAAGACAGCTTATATGGTTGTTTGGAAAAAAGGGGCGAGCTGTGTAATTGTAGATGTATATGATGAGAAAGGGGATGGGTGAAAATGTATAACTACAGAGTTATGGACACCCATAGATCCCAACTATTTTGATCAGTTTTGTGGGTAGCTACAGTTTTATACTTTCTTGAGACTTTTCATGGGAGAATATATTAGCTGATCAGTTGCGGGGCCTTGAAGCTGTATGGCCGGTACAATGTGGAGATGGGTCATTTATTTTCTTTGATGTTGATGATGGTAATGGTGATGAGGTTTGCCAGCGTCAAGGGGACCACTATTCCATTGACAGAGACGGCACTCTACAGGTTCAGTTCCACTTAATGTGCGTAGGCATATGGCCGTAAGTATGAGATTTATATTTTCCATCTCAGAGGATTGAAACCACCATGGTTCCTTCCACTGGCAATCCAGATCATACTGTTGCTTAGGAAAAAATGCAATCTATTGCAATATAATATGTATATATAAAATAGATACAGTGTGACAGTATCTATCTATCCCATGTTATCCCTTCTTTTTTTGTTGGTTACAACCTAGTTATTTACAATGACAGTTTGCTTGGGAAAATGGTCCATTTATTGATTTTTAAAATCATGATCTACCTATAAATATGGTAAATGTTCAACATCTACGTTAGTTTACCAGGGTAAATCACCATTTTCCCTAGTTAAATCATCATCATTTTCCCAGGATTTTCCTAGGAAAAAAGGTGATTTACCTATAAAACATGGTGATTTTCCACATCTGCGTTGGTTTCCCCCGAGGGTACCCCATTACCCCATTACCCGAAGCCGGCGGGTCGCCAAGGTTCCCTCGAAGCCGCGCGCGGTGCTGATGCCCAACGGCCTGGCGAGACGTCCAGGATTGGCACATAGACCGAAGCCTGGAATCATGGTTGACAAGCGAAATCATCCCCAAATGTAGATATATTCATAGATGTATGATATATATATACACAATATATATATATATATAATTATTCATATATGTATACATATATATATATATATATACATATGTATATATATATATATATATGTGGGTAAATATGGTAAATTATAACGACCTCACGTCGCGACCTCGCCGGAAATGATGGTTAGTAAGGGGAATTATCCCAATATGGTGTTATTTCATGTTATTTCAGGTTGGTGAATTATTATACCCAAATAGATATGATTAGATTATGTGTTTTTTGATGTAAGATGTATCTAGATGTATGCAGATTCTATACAGATGTATATAGATGTATAGATGATATAGGAGATTGTCGTCTCCCATATGTTGGTGTATATCATTATATAAATATATATATATAGAGTAGTTTTAGTTGGGTGATGTGAAAATAAACGGAAGTTTGCCAAACCCTGATCGGATGTATTGATGGTCAATCATCACGTACTTAGGTTGGATAAATCACTATAATATAGTGGTGTGAACCATCAATCAACAGGAAGATTGAATGGATATGTGGGAAAATGTAATAGCCACAAACGAAGATAACGTGATAAAGCGGATATAATGGGGTAATGCGATTTAGCTAGCAAACATGGTTATTTTATCGAATTTGTTTAAGGTTTTTTTAGGCATTTAAATAGGGGGATATACCAGCAACACATCAACCATGTCCCTTTTTGGGGATTTGGAACATCACTTGAAAAAGTATTTGTTGGAGGTTATATAGCCTTTCTTCCTGGGTGATGTTCAGTTAGGACATATACCAAGCCCTGATATGATGTATTGACGATCAAAAATATACTTAGGTTGTATCTATCCAATAGTTGGGAGGGAGCGATTCGGAGCTAGGGGTATCCTTTTTTCCTTCTCTATTGAATGGGGGGCCGAGCTATTTTTGGAGTTTCCCACCTGCATGATAGTTACCGGTATCAACTTTTGAATAGCTCAAATGGATTGATGGATATAATTTACAAGATCATTAACTCAAAACCCCAAACCATAGATTAATGGGAACCTTTAACGAGTAAATTGGGATTAATGGAATTTTATTAACAGAATCAATGGGTACAATTGATAATTTAGACAGACTTAATGGGCGTAATTTAAATTAGCCACTTGTAGGTACATAATGGGATAATGGGAGAACTGTCAATTATTAATAATCAGTAGAGTTGATTCGGAACTAGCTAGTATATAGTTTGGATATCATCCATAACTGGTCCATAACTAAATAAACATTCCTGCGATAATTCGAAGATAGTTTGGAGCACTGAAGGTGTTTGAGGCAATGCAATGTGAAACGTCATCTCTTACCAGCAACAACTTGCGGATGTGACATGTGAAATGGATCAAAGCCCTGGTGCCCTGTCTGGTAGGTGGTGACTGGAACCATGGAATTTTATGACTTTCCATACATTGGGAATATTATATTGAATAATGATCCCACCTGACGAAGTCCATCATTTTTCAGAGGGGTGTGGTTGAAACCACCAACCAGCTGTAGTATCTGTAGTTCACACCAAGATGCTTCGCCGGATGGATCTTTGTCTCCAAAATTGGAGAGGATTGTGGGCTGGTTCACCCCCACCGGGATTTGACGAGGCTTTACTAGCTTTACCCAGAAGTGGATGGAACTGGTATAGCATCATCCTCGAACAACCGCTGGATTTCTCACGATGAATATTTCTTATTGGGATGAAGAACTTTGGGTGGAGTGGATGGGTAGTTGCTCCTAGTTTAGTCATTTACATTCATTTACTCTTTTGATGCTTTTCAGTCAACTATTTTGAACAGTGACCAGTCAACCCTGAGTAGCAGCCGCTTCGCAAAATGCTCAAAAAAACGTTGAAATCTTCTGAGATTTCTTGGGGCCATGGGGGCCATGGGTTGCTCCCCTGAATTTTGATGCTTCAAAACCACAGCAATTTCATGAAATCTTCCAAATCAGCCCCATGATGCCGCTGGCTGCAGGTGAGAAGAAGACACCATCGACACCAAGGAGACCGAACATTTTTCCGTCGACTAGAAATCACTATCCTAAATCGGGAACGACGTTTGAGTCGGGTGAATTTTTCGAACACACAACGGGAGTCAACTGAGATGTGAACTATGAACATCTGCTGCATCCAAGTGCTGAAGTGGTGACTGACCTGTTGATGAAACTCTGACCTAATCAAGAAAAGAAGAGATTTAGAACCATAGAATATTTGGGATTCTGCCAACCGTAATCGGACAGAAGTACTGTTTGAGCAGAGATTGGTTGAACCCTTGTGTGCTTGATTCTTTGAAAACTTGTACCACCAGGCATCCGCTCATTGTGGAACTTTTTACCGCATGGGAAGAAATTTGAGGCAGAGTACCCAATAATTGGCTGATGGTTTCATGAAAATGTTCTATTTTCATTTGTTTTCCATGCCTTGTGTGTAAGAAGGCTCGTGTTCTCAACAACATGGATGTGTCTGAGAATGGAGAATAGGACTCGCAATTATTGTTTTAAAAGGAAAATTATGATTAACCAATGGATTCTGGGTACCCTGTTTGCAGAGAAACCCAGATATGGTATAGAACAATAAATGAATAACCAACTGAAAAAACACATGTCCAGGATATCTACAATTTGACCTGAACAACTCCCGGGTTATCAAACATAGCCATGGAGAATCACTATGTTTACTGTAACAGGCAAATACATGGGCCATTTTCCGTAGCTATGTTAAATTACCGGAGAGCAACATGTTTCATTTCTGCTAGTTTTGTGACTTTGTGTTAGGGCACCCTTTAAAAACATGTGGGATTTGTATGGGTTTGTCTGAAATTTGGGTGCCCCCAAATGTGATGAAACCGTTGACCATGTAAACCTAAGTCATGCAAAGTCTATTGGTTATATAATCTCTATCTCTATGTTTATTCTAATAAATCCAATACGGGTCCTATGCCCCATTTTCAGACATACCTATTGCCCACTATTGTTACATAATGCTATATACCCAATTATATCTCACTATATCCCCTTATATATCCATAGTAGATAACTTAATTAGGGACCCAATTATATCTCACTATATCGAAATTATATCTGCCAATTATATCCCACTATATCCCCAATTGTTATAAGTGATACTGTGGATGGTTGCGAAATCCTGCACCAGTTGATAGTAGGGTTTTAACATGTTTCAACCATTCCAAATTGGTGGTTTATCGGATTTCGCACCCATCCTCAGTATCCCCTGTTATACTACCATTCATAGAATTGGATGATGGGAAAATTTACAGGAAAACCCGATCAATTTGATGGTAAAAACCATGGTTTCCGGTTAAGATTTTCCCAACAAAACCAATCCATTGAACCATGGGACTTCAAGACCATGTCCGACAGTGACATGTTCAACTCAGGACCTCAACTCCACGCCGTGGCCCCAGGATTTTCAGGGGCGAATCGGTGGTGCATTTTTCGTTGAAAAACGACAACTCGCACATGGTGCAAAAATGCTGATTTCATGGGATTTCATAGGATTTCTGCTAGCTAGATTGGTTCTTATATGTATTTAATGCAACTATATGTAACTTGGGTGTATGGTTCTACCTATCTATAGTTCATGGGGAAACACGAAACATCACTGGGTGTCACCTCCTTATAGCTGGTACTGCGGGGACTTAATCATCAAAACTAGGCATTTCACCGATATCGACATTGGGGTTTAACGGTTCAACCAATTAGCAATGGTGATTGAACCAACGAAAATGGATCCATGTGTCTAAAACTGTGCTAAATCCTCATTTGCAACTAGAAAACATGGAAAATGATGAAAATCCACTGGCTTAAACTGGGCACCCTATGTTCAGCCAAATCCAGATGAGTCCGAAGATTGGCGGTACGATTTTTGCATTTCACGCAATCTTATGAATATATCTACTGTAGTTACTGGATTTTGATAGAAAAGATGGTGTTCCATGTGTTCGTTTAAATCCGGGTTCCCCCATGTTTGTCGTCGGAAAAAGCATACAGAAAGATGCCAGACAAGGGCCACAGTCCATTCCACTGGTGAATCACCATTTTGCCCAAATGGCATAAGCTGGATGTATACCACATTGTCAAACATACCCATCTTCATTATTATCTAACATATTATTATTATTATATACCCATATGTGAATAGATAATGTAGAATTACAACCATCATATTATGTATTATGATTTATGTTATGTTTTTTTGGCAATGAGAAGTATTTGTATGTTGTGCTTTGGGATTTTTTCCATGAGTTTATGGCTAAGCGGAGGTGTCCTAAGTCATGGGGGTACCCCAAATCATCCAATCGTCATGGATGACTCAGGATGACCATGACTTAGTATTGAAACAACCATGGTGACTTCTTGGGAATCCTCCCACGACTTCAGAAACCCCCCATTTTCGCTGGGAATCCCAAAAACTGGGCCGGGCTGATCCGGGCATAGCTCAGCCGAGGTCTCGATCAGCGTCTCCAGTTGAACATCTGCAGTTCACGGCCCTGTCGCGCCTTTCGCAAGGTGAAGCTCGGTGGTTCCAAGGGTGATCGCCCGTGGACACCATGGGAAGTCCTGGGTTGAAAGAAATTAAGATGTGGATTAAAGGGGAAACATTGGGACACCTAGTTTAGTCTATGTGCTACTGCGTGCCGAACCGCTGGTAAGATCGAGACTATCATGAAAGAATCTGAGGACATTTTGTGGTTACTTCATTCAGGTTTATTCACAATGATATAGATAAAGATCAACACATTAATCATACCATACATGGTACCAGAACCACAAGAGTGCAATTGCCAGCGGTGGTTTTTCAAATATGTTTAGGGATATTTTGGCGCTTTTAATGTTTGGAAACGGGAAGACAGATGAGACTTCTTTTCTTAGTTTCACTTGAATTTATTATCACTGGATAATATTGTTTGTACTAATTATTGATAACTAATTATGTGATAGGTCCAACAATAAAACACCAATTCGATTCTTGAAAGTTTATCGGATTCGCATCCCTCCTCAATGACCAAACTCCACGATTTTACATTGGTCTACTGCGCAATTTTGAAAGGAGCTTTTGGTTCAGGACATGAGGCTGCCATGATTTAGCACATTCTGAGGTTTACTAAATCATGTTGTAATATGTTGTCATAAATCACAAGCGAGTTGAATCATGTTATCACACTTCAATATGTTTCAATCATGTATAGCTCTAGTTACTGTAGTCCTTTCCATAGCGTTCTGAATGGGTCCCTGGGTGACCTCTCTACAGGTGGTGAGTACCCAGCCCGCAACAAAGAGTTTTCCGGAATACAGCGCAGCCCCTGGGCCTTCGGTTGGTTGGTTTATTGATGTTTATTGATGTTTATTGGGGAATTTGGGAATGGGGGCTTCTGAAGTCACAAAAAAGGATTCCCAAGAAGTCACCATGGTTGTTTCAATACGATCCGTCATGGTCATCCTGAGTCATCCATGACGACTAGATGATTTGGGGGTACCCCCATGACTTAGGAAACTTCCAATATACCCTCTGGTAAACATACAAAAAGCATCAAACAGCTATTGAAAATGGCCCAGTCGAAATAGTGAGTTTTCCTTTTAAAAATGCTGATTTTCCAATGTTAGTTTACCAGAGGGTAGGTCAATTATAACGACCTCTGCGACCGTCCTCACGGTTCGTCGGTTCTCTTGTGGAATCATTGGAATCATCAAGGAATGTCAGTGACACCATTTTTGGGAATTTTCATAGGATACATGTCATACATGTCATTAATATCCCAAACAAAAACAAGGTGATGAAATTTTATAGCTCACCAATGAGATTGTTTTTTTTTTGGTATTGCTGGATACACCGATGAGTCTTCTCTCTGGGTGAATGGAGGGAACAGTGAAGGGAATCCATGTTCCCAAGCAAAAGCGTTGGGGCCAGTCGGAAAGTTTAACCCAACCAAATGATAGTTGCCGAGTCGCTGGGATGATATTTTCAGCGAGGAAAATTTGGTTAAAAGGACTATGTGTGGACCATACATGTCCTTTTTGTACTGGCTAAACAAAAGTTGATAGAGACCGTGCTTCACAACCAATAGGTATATGTATTTTAACAGATCAATCATTGGATATACTGTAATAAGAGATCAATCTATTGATGATGGTTGGATATCATATATAATAAACAATCAATTGACACCAATAACAGATCAATGAATATAAATCTGGCTGGTGGTTTCAATTATTGTTTATTTTGATGTGGGTTGAAGCCATCCATCAGACATGCCTTGCCGCGGGAATCTAGCGTGACATGTTTGTTGTTGAGAGGATAAATCTGAAGAAAGACATCGATCAAGGACATCCCCCAACAACAGGGGTTGAATAAACCCCTTTCAATAGTGTTGATAGGGGTGTGCAGTGTGCACCCCCTTTGAATGTTTTTGACGGAGAAAAGACAGTTATAAACTGAGGATGGGAAAGATGATGTTCCGGATGGAGATGGTGTTCTTGAGTATATGTCCATCATATATAATGGGCAAAACAAATCTAGATGGCCTTGGCCTCTGCCAAAATCTGAGTATGAGGGAACCGTTCCAACCGTGCAACAGCGGTCCATTCTCGACTCGTTGAACCTTGGTGCAGAGCAGAGTTTGTAGAACTTATACAATCTGTTGGCATAAATAGGAAGAGAGTGAGATTTTTTATATGCCAAGCAGCTTTCTTTATCTAAGGTTTGAGGCTGTTCATGGCCAATCCCTCTTGCATATTTATATAATTATATATATATATAGTATCTATACGTAGAATATATATATATATATACATAATGTGCATTTATTTATAATGTAAGTATAATTAGATATACACATACTATCCAAGCATTTCGCAGGGCCATGGGAACCTCTCCAGATCTCCTTTAGATCCGCTGAGGAGAGCAAGTTCTTTGAGCACTTGTCGCGACAGAGCCTTACCACCAAGGCCGTGCCGGGAAATGGACCAGGAGATGACCTAAGGGATTGTTTTGGTGGGATTTATGTTGGGTTAATGATCTTACTGGTGGGTTTTGCTGGTGGGTTTTGCTGGTTGATTTCGGATAATTTGGGATACTTCGATATAACGAGAATCAAAGGGATGTGGTTTCCAGGAAACATACAGAAAACTATTTCTCATCCAGAAATGATCTACTATGGTGATGTTTACATCTCGCTACTCGAGGGTACAGAATAAATACACCGGGTCAATTTTTACTATTTCACGACCCTGTAGCCAACAAGAGGCTTTTAAGCAACGACCAATCAGGACTTTTTTTGCAGAAAAAATGCTGGCCCACGCATTCAAGAACGCCGAGTTGACAAACGAAAACGCAACATAGGATCACACCAGCACCAATGCGCACTGACATCATTTGTTTCAAAATAAGGTACCCTCTGGTAAACTAACAGTTTGCTATTGAACATGGCCATAGAAATAGGTGATTTATCCATTTAAAATGGTGATTTTTCCACACTTATGTTAGTTTACCAGAGTGTACCAACCAACCAATGATTAATCATCATTGGTCCTTGGTATCACGCACTTTCAAAATACCGGTATAGCCTATTTTCAGACACATCCACATGGAGTTTGGGGCGTTTGGGGCGTCATGTCCCGACAGTGTTGAGGTGATGCGATGTTTGATGTTTTTTTTGGGTAAACTTCTCTTTCCACTTTGTTAATCATCATTTTACCTATAAAAAACATATAACACATGCATACAAATGCATAAACTTGAGGTGATTCCACCATTTTGACACTCCACAGAAGGTGGGGGCGGACCGAAGTGGAAAACCACCATTTGGGGGCTTCTTGGATGATTTGCGGGTACCTCCATCTTAGGAAACTAGCATTTGTTTAGAGGGAAATCATCTACAAACGGGCCATGTTCCATGGCGTGTGTGTCATTACCAGAAGGTGTTTGATTGTTTTTGACCAGTTTGATCACCTACAGGCAATCATCCTCCAGTTCTATTATTATTATTATTTATTATATAATGTCTCCAAGTTCTTCAAAAAACATTGGGCAAAAGCCGGAAGCTGAACAGGTGTTCAAATTGGTGGATGGCAAGACACAACGGAGAGTCGGGACGTGAATTTCGGGTCGAGCGCGGTTCGAATCCAAGTCCTAAGGGTGGCAGAAAATTCCGCCAGAGGTGCAGGCGAGTAAAGATGATGATGTAGTTTGCATAAGACTCATACAATTTGGCCTCCCAGTTTATGAGTTGGGTGAAAAATAATCTCCATAATGTTGACATCGTATTAATAAACCACCCCCCCAAACATTAAGAGCATCACAATAAAGTTAGGGCCAAACATTCAACTATCGTAAAAATCACCTATGTATTCCCGAATGAATTGCCTAATTGAAAACGAATACATAATGTTGACATTAGAGGGAACCTTCTTTCCAGACCTATGTATTCCCAAATGAATTGCCTAATTGAAAACGATTACATAAAGGGAACTTTCCAAAAAAAAAATCACCTATGTATTCCCAAATGAATTGCCTAATTGAAAACGAATACATAAGGGAACTTTCAAAAAGAAAAAAACTATGTATTCCCAAATGAATTGCCTAATTGAAAACGATTACATAAAGGGAACTTTCAAAAAAAAACACCTATGTATTCCCAAATGAATTGCCTAATTGAAAACGATTACATAAAGGGAACTTTCCAAAAAAAAAATCACCTATGTATTCCCAAATGAATTGCCTAATTGAAAACGATTACATAAAGGGAACTTTCCAAAAAAAAAATCACCTATGTATTCCCAAATGAATTGCCTAATTGAAAACGATTACATAAGGGAACTTTCAAAAAAAAAAAATCACCTATGTATTCCCAAATGAATTGCCTAATTGAAAACGAATACTAAAGGGAAAAAAATGAAAAAAACGGGAAAAAAAGTTGGCATACTTTATTGCCGGGGGGTTTATTAATCTTTTCCGGGAGTTGGCGTACTTTATTGTGGGGGGGTTTATTAATCCCATGTTGACATTAAATACATATAAATACTATACCTGTAACATCTGAAAAAAACTTATACTGGTTGGTGGTTTTGGAACATGGGTCATGTCATCATCCCAGACGATCACTCCATGGCAGGTTTCGGCGGTTCAGCTGCAGCTGTTGTTGGGCATGGCTTTCCGATGTGAGCCCATCACTGGAGACCCTTGGATCCCAAACGGGGATGAGAGCTGGGAAATCCATGGGGATATGCTGGCAACATCTGTTGCCACGTAAAATCCTGCCGTGGATGACAACCTCTTATGTTCGGTCATGTTCGCAAGGTTTTCCATCGATGAAAACGAGGACGACTGTCATATTTTTCATTATTTTCCCATCGAACAGCAAATTGATGCAGAGTGGGGATATATCACCAATTGGGTTGCGGGATGCCATTTCACCAAGAAAATTAGAATGGTTGAAGCAATAAGAATGAATTGTGATCGCAACATGGATGCAGGGAGCGTTTGAACATGGGATATATCATATGATAGATATATAAGATTATATAAGATTATATATATATATATAGATATATTATATATATATATACATATAGAAATAGATTATACAGACCCAAAGTGGCATCTTTAAATAATGTGGAACCGTTTTTTTTTTCAACAGGGGATTCTCGTGACGCGGCGACTTGACCGATGGACCGATGTTCATGGCATGTGGTAAGAAGCCATGGTAAAAGCCATGGTAAAAGCCATGGTAAAAGCCATGGTATGTTTACCATCCCCAATAAACATCACCATTTTAAGATGGGTGGATATGGGTGGTATTAGTGGTGGATTGGTGGTATATACTGAAAAAATAAAATTGAATACTTAATTAGCATTTTCACTTATGCTAGGTGAATAGCAGTGAAATTTGACCACATTATGACATATCTTGGCATGTTTGAGCCATGAATGTCCATGAATTTGAACTCATTTTCTAGTTTGAATAATGTTGGCGGCTGAGGCGTCGCTTTCGGACTCCAGGCTAGACTCGTTTTGAGTTTGATGATTTTCCCATGATCAACTTGATGGCGACGTCTTGTTGAGATTTGGACACTGCGAATCCTCCAATTTCTGGGGTGCCACTTTTTCATCATTTTCCCTTGAGAAGATCAGATTCAGGACCTGGGTTTGATCTACCTCGGGGCCGCAAATCTTCGACCGGCACGTCTCTCGATGCCAAGGGGGAGTTCACCATTAAAAATGGGTGGTTCAATGGGATATTCATGGGGATATCAGAGGTGGGTTAACCAACTATCCCATTGAACCACCCATTGAACCACCCATTGAACCGACCATAAACCTATACAAACCTATGATATCCCATGGGGGGTTAACTATCATGATGGATCATAGGTTTGTATAGGTTTTCGTGGCATCTAAATCTATGGTGGCATATCACGGGATACATGGATATATTGAAGCTTAATCTGGGTTTCTTTGAGGTGATTCGGTTTATTTTCCCAATGGACATCCACTAATTAGAAATGGGGAATCGATTAAAGGATATACATGGAGGTTTCCTGAAATGGGGGTACCCCTAAATCATCCATTTAAATAGGATTTTCCATTATAAACCAACCATTTTGGGGATCCCCCATTTATGGAAACACCCATAATATAGATATACTGTATGTGTGTTTAAGAGACCCCTTCAGCAAATCCAAGACCAACATACATTAATTTGGGATAGATGGATTAGTTGATTAACCTCTTTAATATGTTTTAATCCTTTGCAATAAATGGGTTTTATGATGTCTTATGGGAAAAAAATCGTGGGACGTAAGCCAAGAATATAGGTCTCTTGGGATATACCGGGATATGTGTGATAGGCATTTAAGCAGTTGGATAAAGATACAGAGGTTGAACATTGAGGATTAAACCATTTCACGCGAATATCATTGGATTTCACAGCATGTTTGATGTTTTTTTTGATGGAATACCAGCATATATGGGATATAATGAATGGGATACATAGGTACATTTCTGATGCGTGTGTATGTTTATATATATATATAGACAATATACATATACATATATATATATATATATATGGGACACAACCAAGATAACATACTGCATGGGATATCATACAGTAATCAGTGCGATCTCACCAACATATCACCGAAGCAGTTTCAAAAATGCCAGGATGGATGACCTTGATCCAGAATCCACAGCTCCATGTAGATTAGATCTCCATGTTGGTTGGTTTAATTCCAAGCATGGTGAGATAGCACTTTCAGTTGATTAATTTATGAGATTCCCAGTTTTTTTGCTTCTTAATCCCAAATTTTCTTGGCAAAATACGGTAAACATGGGTAAACATGCATTTTTTTGGTTGGCAGCGCCTCCATTTGGGGGCCAGCAGCTTAGAATGGGGTCTTCCCCTAGATGTCATCCAAATTCTTGGTCAAAAGCTACCCACCCTCTGAAAAACATAGCTGCTATGGAAACCATGAACCATTTAGTTCGATAATAGTTACATGATATCATGATGATCTATCAAAAAATGCTGAGTTTCCAGGTCACAGTCAGCGTTTTTGATCAGCAGAATCCTCCCAGCAGGCCGTGACTTCCTCCCTTGGGACTCCATTCTGGCGACCTCCTTTGCTGATTGGTGCGGAGGTCCCAGATGATGCCAGATTGGCCACCAAGACGACGCGAGGTAAATGATGATTGATATTGATTTCCATGAAAATATCCAAAAAACTGGTTGGTGGTGACTGGAACATGAATGGAATCTGGATTCACTTTCCCATGATATTGGGAATAATGAATAATGATCCCAACTGACGAAGTCATATTTTTCAGAGTAGGGCTCAACCACCAACCAGATGATATTCCATTTTGATGAGAATGATATGAGATGCTGATTCGTGCTAACTTAAATCACTGTAGCTTTATATCATGGGAACATCAAGCAACTAAATGATGGATTGTCATCACGACGCAAATGATGATAACGACTTTTGATTAGGAATGGGATAGGGAGAATCCACTCTCCCACAAATATCCATTCATATCCAATTGATATCTAATTAATATCCACTTAATATCCACTGATCCTCCATCAATTTATATGCATGCCGGAAAAACCAGCATGAATAGTTGATGTTCAAACCTTCACGTTTAGGAAGTTTCAATTGCCATGTTTGATTCCCGGAGGTTATGTAGAGAGAATCCCATCCCCCGTTCATACTAAACATCCTCATTGTATGGTCGAACATATGTGGTTTCATCCCCCCAAAAAAACGGTTTCTAGGGGTGCTTAACGTGAGGGGATTGGGCCACTCACTTCATGTTGGTGAAAAACATCAGCCAGCTATCAATCAGCACTCTTCGGGATTAGGGTAACTATCCCAAAATGGCTAGATCTGTTCGATGTCTTTTTTTTTTTTGAAAAAAACCAGCTTTAAGATGGAAAAAGCTGACGACTTGTGGGAACTTGTGAGGGTTGCTGACCACTCAGTGGGATGATTCGTCCCAATCTTCCAAGGGTTCCAAGGGACAATGATGGGGATGCGAGCATCATCCAGATGGGATAGTAGCTATATGTAGGTATATGATTTTTTGGAATCCAGATGGCTAAATCTGGATACCTCGCCATACCAAAAGCATCTGGGTCAAATGTTGATGTTTGCGGAGCTGTGTCATGGGGGGCCTTTATGGCTTAGAAAATGAAGAGTTGTGCCACCAAACTCGGCATTTCACCAAGAAGAAGTCCTTCCCGCAGAGCCAAGTCGTTTTTCAACATGCGAACTTCGTGGTGAAGTTTGGCTCGAAAGATTTGCAACAGGTCTTCGAACATCCACAAGTTAACCACGTTTTTGGTTTGTGGCTTTGGTTTGTATTTTGTTCCTTATCTGGGTACCCTGGTTTGGTAGGTTCATGACGGTGAATGGATCATTCAAAATGGAACATGGACCAAGCACGTAAACATGTAGGTGATGTTTGAAGGAATTGAAAGATTTGCGACGTTCCAAGAAACACCTTTGCAAAAACTTGTGGTGCAAACTCTGCAAATGTGTTTTTTCATTGTCGAAGTGTTAGATGCTTCGGGTGACTGTATCATTGCCGAGTGGCCACAGTGACGACCTAGCGGTTCCACAGTCCTCCAAAGTTGGGGACTTGATTCGTCAGGCCAAGCATTCTTTTGGTCCAGGTTTCTTGAGGCTTGTTACTGCGGAAGGCCATCTGCTCACTCCGAAAGACTCCTTGGAAGCTGCAGGCATTCGAGATGGAGACCACCTGACACTGATTGGCATTTAGATCAATTAAGGTTTTTTTAGTCAGTTTGATATACATAGACCCTCTGTTACCCATAAAAATGGGTACTTTGCCCGATAATTCTTGTACTTTTAGTGTCTTGGTATAATCATAATCTATTACTGTCCATTCCGATTTGGGGACGGGTCAAACTGGATTGCACTGAATTGCCTGTCCACATGATCCATTTTAATGTCAAAACCAGGGCTCCAGGATTGTGATATATTTGGGATGAAACAAGACGAGGCCAAAAAACAGTTCCAAATCGGATTATAAACCCATCCAACTGTAGATATTCTCGATCCTATAGACCTAGTTGTAATCAACCAACTTACCCTCTGGTAAACTAACATAACTATGGAAAATCACTATTCTTAATGGGTAAAAATCCACTATAAATGGCCATATTCAATAGCTATGTTAAATTACCAGAGGGTACCCAATATCTCTACGATTTTGAGTTCTAAGGGGGCCACTTCTCCCAAGAGACTCATCTGTCGAACGGAGGGATTGGCCCCCCGTCAGGACCGCCATCTACCGAAAGGCCCTTGTGTCGTCAACGGCAAGAGCCTTCGCCTTGTGCTGTTCTGGGGATGACCAGATTGTCACGTGGGGAGATGGAGGAGACCCGGGGCCATGCTGAGGTGGTCATTTTTGAGTTTCCCAATCTGTGAGGATAGGGTATACTTGGGGGTGCTGAACTGTAGTTGTAATATCCCAACTTATTGTTGAGGTCAGTACCATACCCATTAATAACCTCAACTGCCCCCCCAATGGCTATTTTGGATAGGAAAAGTGATGATTCACCCGATTAGGTGGTACCAAATTTTCACACAAACCCCTATGGGAAATCCATGGAAATCTAGCATTCCAGGAATCTCTACTTTTTTTTTCGAGGTGGTTTGAAAAAGACGGGAAATAGATCGGATATAGGTGGAAAATCCACCATGTTGGGGAATGTCTAAAGGCCTACACAGCATAGTTATAATCCTTTCCTCCTAATGCTAACCCCCCTATTAATAAACACCTCAGGTAGTTTTTATTATTAGAGGGTATTCATTATTAGGGAACCAAAGTCGAATTCATGCTATTCATTATATAAAGATATCTACACATATGTGTGTACATATATATATATATATATATATGTAATCAATTATACGTGTATATGTAGTAATCATGTGTTGACAGTAGGGGTTTCATGAGGCAGATAGTCAGAATCAGTAATTATCCAGCATCCAGCGGGTCAGGTCCACAGACAGGCAGCCTACATTGCTTGTTGGTTTAAGCAAACAGCCAGGCAAAAAGCCAGTGCGCGTTAAGACACACAGGTAAGACAGCCCAGTCATGGAGGCAGCTCAGCAGCCAGTCATGGAGACAGCCCAGGAGCCAGTGGTGCAGGCAGAGCAGCAGCCAGTGGTGCAGGCAGAGCCAGGCCAGCAGCAAGTAGAGGCAGCGCTTGCAGCTTTAGCAGTTCAGGCAGCAGCAACTGCTTTCTGCCTGCACCACTGGCTTCTGGGCTGCCTCCATGACTGGCTGCTGAGCTGCCTCCATGACTGGGCTGTCTTACCTGTGTGTCTTAACGCGCGGAGACGTGACTGGCTTTTTGCCTGGCTGCTTGCTGGGATCTAAAAAAATCAAGACTCCAGCCAGCTCAGAAAGACATTGCAGACAGCAAGGCGGAGGGGTGGCTTTCACTCTTTCAGGCAGCAAGACAGACTCATGTCAGCCAAAAATTGCTCAATTGCTCAGCTAGAGCAGCCAGGTAGCTTGGATTCAGGGGTTGGGATCAAGGACCCTAATAATAAACACCCTGGGGTGAACTAGTATTAGGGGGCAAATAAACCCACAAATGGTAGCTTTATTTTTAATTTGTTTTCAAAAGGGGATCAATTAGAAGTCAAATTGGCCAATCTGAAATTTTCCGAAATTGGAGATGGACCCCAGTTTTTAGTATTTGGGGGACATTTAGTAATAGGAGGAAGGGATTAGCATGGATTAGCTATAGCATAGTTCTCAGTTTTTCTAGCGGCCTTGAATCAGATCCCTCCAAGGATATGGCGGTGACAGCTCCCAAGTCCAAGATTTGCTTCGAAGCGCCCAGCAGATGCAAAGCAGCGATCGCGCCTTCGCCGCCATCCTGGGAGACGGATCTGTTGTGACGTGGGGCGATGAAGGACGTGGAGGAAACAGTTCAGCTGTGGATCTCAGGGGCGTTCAGCAGATTCAGGCCACCTGGATGTGTTGAGTGTGTGATGTTTGGGTTTTCTCGAAATACACCAGGGGAATCTATAGGGAATATGATGGAAACTATGGAAGATGTTACTGTAGACTTTGTGTTGGGGGCTTGTAGCAGATCCAAGGCCACAAACAGTGCCTTTGCTGCCATCTGCGGTGGAGCGGTCAACGCATGGGGCAACCCGGAGGAAGGTGGCGATAGCTCCGGAGTCCAAGATCAGCTTCAAAGTGTAGAGCAGATTCAGGCCACAGGTCGCGCGTTTGCCGCACTTCTCGCAGATGGTTCCGTTGTGACTTGGGGCGATGCAGCTTCTGGTGGGGATAACTCCATGGTCCGGCATCAGCTCCAGAATGTGCAGCAAATTCAGGCCACGGATTGGGCATTTGCGGCGATTCTGGCCGATGGATCGGTGGTTTCATGAGGCGATCCAGAGTATGGTGAAAACAGTTCTGGGGTCCAAAGTGAGCTCAGGAGAGTGCAGCAGATTCAACGGACATTTGGCGCATTTTCAGCCATCCTGTCAGACGGCTCTGTGATCACATGGGGACATCCAAATTATGGCGGCGACAGCTCTGCAGTCCAAGATCAACTAAGAACTGTGAAACACATTCAGGCCACGAATTCTGCATTTGCCGCTATCCTGGCAGATGGGTCTGTAGTAACATGGGGAAATCCCCTAAATGGTGGTGACAGTTCTGCAGTAAAAGATCAACTCGGAGGCGTGCAGCAGATTCAGGCCACTGAATTCGCATTTGCTGCGATACTGACAGATGGATCAGTTGTTGCTTGGGGCCATCCAGATTGGGGTGGTGATAGCTCTGGAGTCCAGTTGGAAAATGTCCGACAGATTCAAGCCACAGATTGGGCATTCGCAGCGATTCTGACAGATGGATCCGTTGTCACATGGGGCGATCCAGAGTATGGTGGAAACAGTTTCAAAGTCAGAGATCAGCTCAGAAATGTCGAAGGGATTCAGGCAACAGAGTTTGCATTTGCTGCGATTCTGGCAGAGGGCTCTGTTGTTACATGGGGAGATGAGGACAATGGCGGAGACAGCACCCAAGTTGCAGATCAAATTGCCAATTTGTAGCTCGCATAGCTCGCCCCCTTTTTCTTCGGACAGAAAATGCAGCACGGACATGACGGAAAAACCATTCGCTAGCAGCATTTTTTCATAATTGCAATGATGTACGAACCAGGCCCTCCAAACATCTCCAAAGTATATCCCGACACAAAGAATCAATTGGTTACTGTGATAGGTCAATTATATCCACATCAATCAGCATTGTTCGTCAACTCTCGGGTTGCTCCAAGCCATAAGTCAATGATAGCCACCAAGAGGGGCACCCTATATCTGGGGTGGCCAGTGATGAACCTTGACTGATGCCTAAATCTCCGGGGTGCCTGTGGGTCCAGCAGTTTTGCCGCGGTTGAGCCATGTTGAGCCCCTGGATGTTCATCAAGTTTATATAATCGGTCCATTCGGTGATAAATTCTAGACTAGAGCTGTTTTCCAGTAGTTGGATCGAATCATATTGAATCTGATTGGTTCTTGAAAATACTTAAGCTCAAGGCAGGAATCATCACATTGGTGCGAGTCAAGCATGTTCAGAAATGGGGTACTGAGTACTGGTACCAAGGGGCCTGTAAAATTGATTACAGTACCGGATAACATTTAGCGACCAATCATTGTTGATCATATACTCAGTTGATGGATGATGGGATAATTACCGGATTATAGTTGGTTGACCCCCTCAACTGTTAAGTTAATATATGTACTATAACCAATCATATTCCGGTTAATTTAATAGCTGTTAGTCAGTTGAACTGGCTAACTATTGTTGAGATTCAACTATTAACCATTCAAAATGTCATATTCATGAACTATTAACCATGAGCAATTCAACTATGATTTACGAACTATCCAGATACATAAAGTTTATCCCCAAGTCTAGTTGGTGTCCTATAAATAAATCCCCAGATTTATCCACTATTTATCCACTATCCAATTCAACCATTCATTGAAGCCCTTTTTTCACTCACTGGGGGGCTTCAAAAAATGGTGGATCCCCGTTCGCCACCGGTGTCCGATTGCTATCCAATTGCTCCAACCTCTGAGGCCTGGCGATGTGTCGCAGTTCTCTGAGGAAGCCTTGGGGGGCACAAAATCTGCGCCTTGGCGGGAAACGCTGGGAGATGGGGATGTTGGGGATGTCCGCTTTTGTCACGGGGGTACGGCAGGTAAATATCATCTATGTGATTTTCGGATTGTCCATTATAAACAATCTATATATATATATATATAGATAGGGGTACCCTCATTTATGAACACCTCCATTAATACGTATATAGATTGCATAGATTATATCTACAAATACATGGAGATAAATGATCCAAACTGGGGGGTAAAACCCTACTAAAAAGAAACTATAGCAAGATATAGAAATCGTCGAACACGGGTGACTTTATTTGACCATCAACAATTCGGATTTACCATGAAACAAATAGGTTTAAGCATGAAACAAACGGAGATTTGACACGAACAGTTGGGATATAGCAAAGAAATAGTGGTTTTTACCACGTATAGTCGGTATTCAATCAGCATAAGCGGGGATTCAATCAATGAAACAATGGATACGAGACTAGCTCCCAGTGGCTTACCCCGCTGCAAACTAAGATATCATATAATTATTCATATATATATATATATATGCAATGTTGATAAGTGTGTAGTGCTGTATGTCCAGTTGGAAATCAATGACATTTGCCCCCCCCGCCCCCCCCTTGTCCCCATTCGCAATTTCAATGCATCCACCAGAAACCTGGGTTATATCAGTTCCTGATAAGTATTTCGCCACATAGATACTGTATAGATATGTATACAAAACTACATAAACAGCTGAAACCAACTGTTCTTATCAGTGTGACAACTCACTGATTTGGTGCACCATGAATAGCATGGATGACAGATGTTCGCGCAGGCGTTTTGGAACCAGGAAAAGAATCATGGTAGCGGAGCCCAAGGATCCATAAGCCTAGTGCTGTGGTGAGGGCTCGACAGAGGGCAGGACCCATACCCTCACGAGGACTGGACCCAATCCTCGGTAGCGAAGGGTTCCAAACCGGTTGGGCACCTTTGCCGGCGCCATAGTGTCTTCACTGCTTTGATCTGCTAGCTTCGAGCATGGCAGTTGCAGCCCCAGAGGCACTTGTGGAGTTGATTACAAATGCTGCCAGAGCAGCTCAATCAGCAGCAGAAGCTGCACGCACAATGAAGGAAGTGTCAGAGGCAAAGAACCGGAGCAATTTCTCAGAAGCTTCGAAGGTGGTCAAGTGTCCCGAGTTTTTCGGATACCCTACATCGGATGAGGATCAGAACTGTTGGCGTGATTTTGCATTTTCTTTCAAAGCATGGCTGATTTTCGCAGACAGTGGTTTTGAGGCTGAACTCGAGCAAATCGAGAAGACTTCAGATACTGTTTTTAGCGTTCCAACCAATGCAGAGACTTTGCAGAGAGCCCACAAGTTGTATGCAATTTTGAGTGGATTGTTGCGGCATCGTCCACTCCGTGTTCATAGACAGGTCATTGATAGGAATGGCTATGAAACTTGGAGACAGCTATGCCAGTTGTTTGCACCCCGAACAAAGTCGAGGTCGATCAGCTTGTTGCAGGCTCTGATGAGCTTTCCAGCCTTTGACAAGAGCAGAACGCTGCTCGAGCAAATTCAGTCCTTGGAACGTGTCAGGGACGAGTACCAACGAAGTTCAACTGTTTCTTTGCCGGATGATTTGATGGTTTCAACCCTTTTGCGTGTTTTGCCCAAGAACATCCAACAACATCTTCATTTGCAAATGACCTCAACAACTGACTATGCAGCAGTGCGTGCCATGGTTTTGAACTACGAAATTGCAAGCTCTTCGTTTTCAACAGGCCGTATTCATGCTGAGTTGGGAGTTGTTACCAGTTATTCAACAACAGCTGGTTCAGGTCCTATGGAGATTGATCGGATTTCAGAGAATTGCAAGGGTAAGTCAAAAGGGAAGTATGGCAAAGGCAAGGATTCAAAGGGAAAAGGCAAACAAGCCCCTTACAAAGGTAAAGGGAAGTCTGCGTCGAAAGGTATGAAAGGAAAGGGCAAAGGTGGCAACAAAGGAAAAGGCAAGTCTGGTGGTGTTTCAAATGACACTTGTAGATATTGCGGCAAGGTTGGACATTGGGAGAAAGACTGCAGAAAGCTGAAACGTGATCAAGGTGAACAGGTTCGACAAGTTGGTGCAACAGCGCCCCCAGGTTCATCGCCTTCAAGCAGTAGTGTGAGTCGCAGTGCAACCTCTTATTCAACAGGATCTGAGACTTCGACCATGCAGACAAGCTCACAACATGGTTCTCAGACTGGCTCAAACGTGCGTCGGGTTGCATTTACCACTCCATTCATTGAAGAGATGGACGAACCTGAAGATCTTACAGTTTTTCATGACAGTTGCAGTTATTTCCACGACGTTTGCATGATTTCAACCATGAAACCATTGAACAAACCTTTCAACAACCTATACAACTGTGTTTGTTTTGGTAGGAACCATGCTTCGATTTTGCCGCGTTTTGACATGAGTTACAGTGATTTGGACGCTGCCTGGACGTTTTCATGTGAAGATGAGTGCAGGCCCACACAACAGGAGTGCAGGGCATTTGAACGTGATTCCAAAATGTTTTCACTTGAGGGCGAATGCAGGCCCACACAACAGGGTTCCAGAGACTTCGAACGTGACTGCAAGATATTTTCACTGGAAGATGGATGCAAGTCATTTGAACAGGATTCCAGAGACGTCGAAAGTGATTTCAAGATGTTTTCACTGGCAGCTGGATGCAAGTCATTTGAACAGGATTCCAGAGCACTCGAACGTGACTGCAAGATGTTTTCAGTTGAAGATGATTGCAAGATGTTTGAACAGGACTGCAGAGCATTTGAACGTGCTGGCAAGACGTTTTCATTTGAAGATGGTTGCAACATGTTTGAACAACAATGCAAAATGTTTTCACTTACAGATGAGTGCAAACTGTTTGAAACATGCTCACATGTCCGTGCTGTCACAGCAGAACAGATGGAGATTGTCTTGGATTCAGGTGCAGATGTCAGTGCATTGCCATTGAGGTATGGCACCATCGGCAAGTCATGTCCTCAGCCTAGAGATGGAGCTTTTGTAGATGCACAAGGTGGCAAGTTGAATGTCAGAGATGTTTGAATTGGCAAAGTGCAACTAGGCTCAGTTTCTTTTCGAGAGCGTTTCATCATTGCAGATGTCACGACCCCGTTGCTGGCTTTAGGAAGCATTGTCAGGGCAGGTTGGTCTTTGCATGCTGATGGAACACAACAATTCCTTTGCAAGGGTGACAAAACTGTTGAAGTTCTTTTCAAACGAAACTCACTGTGCGCCATGGGAACAATCTCACAGATTTCAGAGACAGATGGTGAAGCAGTTTCTCCAGTTGCCTCACCATGCAGTGCGTTTGAACGTGGTGACACAGAGTTGTTGATGGCTCAGCAGGAATCTGTCAGGCCAATTTCAGGCCAGGTCAGTGCGATCACCTTGAAACCTCCTTTGACCAGCTTGGGCCCTGGATGGAACATGTTGACGCCTCAGTTGTATGCCATTTCAACTTTTGAACCACGGCACATCAACACAACTTTGATACCAAGCAGAGAGTTGATGTGGCTTCGTACAACCCTTGTGAAGCGTGAGACTGGCTGGGAACTTGATGAGTTTGCACAACCAATTTCAGAGCTCAGTGACATGACAGCACCTCTGCCAAACGTTCAATCAGTCTTGGAAGTGATCACACTTGCGCATGTTTTTGCAGTCCCACCTGAAGTGCTTGGTTTCAACATGCCAGAAGGCCACAACACACCACGTGCAATTGATGCCCTTGCACCTTCACTCCCAATGTATCGTGAAAGCCCTGCTGAAGGACATGGAACCGTGGTTGAGGTTCCAGTTGAAATGGAAGTTCCAGCGGCTGACAATGCAGAGCCCCCAGAGATTGACCGAGATTTGCCATATGTTGCAGAGAGTGATTTGGTTGTCATTGATGGTGTTAGATACAATATGGATAGCACCTTGAGACACTTGCGTGAAGCTTGCGTTGCACTTGGTTTGAGTAAGAGTGGATCGAAGAAGAGCTGCTTCAAGCGTTTGTTGGAGCACATACAACACCAAGAGTTGATTGCCTCACAATCTGCAACAGCAAAAGTTGGGTCAGAATCTCAGAGACTTCCAATTGAGCAGAAGAAACCTGAAGAACCTTCTCAAGCTGCAATCGATGCCCACAACTTGGTCCATGAACCATATGCTGCGTGGTGTCCTCTTTGCGTTGCTCATCGTGCACGCCAGGATGTGCATTCCAGGCGAGGTGAACAAGGGCTTCGATCAGACCACAGCGTCGTGAGCTGGGATTTTGGTTTTTGTAGCAGAACTTCAGATGACACAGATGACAAACTGACTGCACTTTATTTGCACGATTCTTTCACTGGACTCCTTGGCGTTGTGCCCACTCCTCAGAAAGGTGGGAAGTATTTGAGTTACTTGACAACAGAAGTAACTCGATTCATCGTGCAAACTGGGCATTCAGTGGTTGGCTTGCGTTGTGATGCAGAGCCAAGTACATTGACGCTGTTGAGTTCTGTGAGAAAGACTTGTCAAGCCTTGGGAATAGGCACACATGCTGAGCCAACACCAGTTGGAGATCACCAAGCAAATGGAGGAGCCGAAGTTGCAGTGCGTCTCCTCAGATCTCATGCAAGCATATTGGTTTCTCAAGTTGAACAAGCATGTGGAGCCACAGAGCCAATTGTGGCTGGCAATCACCCGTTTTTTGCATGGGCGCTTTTGCATTCAGCTTGGACGCACAACAGGTTCAAAGTGAACGGTGGCATGACAGCATTTGAAACATGTTCTGGTAGAACATACAATGGACGACTGGCCATGTTTGGAGAGCGTGTTTATGCCTTCTTGAAACCTGAGCAGAAGGCAAAACCCTCTTGGCAAAAAGGGTTGTGGCTTGGCAAAACAGCACAAGGAGATTGCCACATTGTTTCGACAGCTGCAGGCATTCTGGTGACAAGGTCAATCAGAAGGATGCCCAAACCCTTTGAGCTTGAGCTGGTTGGTGAGTGCGTTGTAGCACCATGGGACTGTGGCTACGCATCCCTTGGCCACAGGATGCTCTATGCAAAGCGGTTGACACAGCCTGTGCCAACTGCAATTCAAGACTTTGCAGGTTCAACAATGCAACCTGGATCTCCTGCGGATGAAGCTGCATCAGACCCACCTTCTCCAAATGAGGTGGAAGCAATGGCAGAAATGAAAGAGCCAAGTGCAGAGGTTCCCCAACAGTCTGAGGGAATCTTCACTGATGCACCCATAGCCGAGATACCAGCAAAGGCGGGGCTACGAATGAAGCCTCCACCATTGACCGCAGTAGTTGCAGCTCCAGCTACACCTGCAGATGCTTTTGGTGCTTCCTCCTCTTCAGCACCAATGGACTTGCGTGAAAGCCCAGGCACACATGACACTGAACATGCAGAATCAGGGCGTCCCGAGAAACAGTTGCGCATCAATGCCATCTCCGATGTTGGTGCAACTTCAAATTACTCCTTTGATGATTTGCATGAAGATGGCAAACCAGACTATTCCTTTTCACACCAAGAGCTGGACGATTTGGAAGCTTACGAGCTTGGCCTTGAAGACGATGATGGGTACTATGATGATGGTTCCCCATCTGACCAGCTTTCAGATGATGCTGAACATTTGCTGAAGGAAGTTATTTTTCCTTACACCAAAGATGAGCCCAATCTACCAGTGGAACAGCTTCAGCGTCTGGATGCAATTGCAGATCGAATTGAGATGATTCGTTTGAAAGGCCTTGGCGTGCTTTGTGACCCCAGCATCTTGGATGGTGTGACATACAAAACTTTGTCCACACGTTTTGTGCGTACGTGGAGATGCAAGAATGTGGATGGTTTGGCATGTTGGTTGAGACGTAGCCGATTTGTGGCTCGTGAGTTTGCATGGTTGAATGAGGCCACAGAAAATCTTTTCAGTCCAGCATCAAGTGCCATTGCATACCGCATCATTCCCACCATGTTCTTGAAGAACCAGTCCACATGGGGATTGTATGCAATCGATATCAAAGATGCGTTTCTGACGGTTGAGCAACGTGACCCAACCATGGTATATGCTCAAGATGCTTCAGGTGAAACAATAGCGTATTCACTGGGACGTGTGTTGCCAGGTCAACGAACAGGCAGCATGTTGTGGCATGAGTCTTTGACACAGCATTTGAAGGATGCAATTGGTCTTGTTGAGTGCGAGTGCTACCCTAGCATGCTCAAATCACAATGTGGACAATGCTTCATACTTCTTCACGTTGACGACTTGTTTGTGACAGGATCGAAGCGATATGTGAATGAGGTATTAATCCCATGTTTGAAGGCCAAGTACTCCATTGCTGTGGACTCAGTTGAGAACCCAGGTGATGAAGTTTCTTTTCTGAAGCGCAGTCATGTTTTGCTTGAGGGTGGAAAGATGCTCATACGTTCGCATCACAAGCATTTCAGCCAGTTGAAGGAGTTGCTGGGAATTGGTAAGAAGTACTTTGCAAAGAAAGCACCAAGTCATCCCAAAATTGATGACATTGACGAAACCCCAGCGCTGGCTGACTCAGATGCCTCCAAGTACCGAAGCGCGGTCGGCACCTTGCTGTACTTAGCGCCAGACCACCCACAATGTCAGCATGCCATACGTTTTCTTGCGACGCAAATGAGTAGCCCTACAGAACATGCGTGGCAAGTTTTGAAACATCTTGTCTTGTACATGCTTGGACATCAGGATGTTTGTTTGAGTTTGGAGTTTGCAGGGGAAGCCACAGGTATTTTCCATGAATATACCAACAGCCGTAGTGGCGTGTTGGAAGTTTTCACTGACGCTGACTGGGGAGCATCAAAGATGACAAGGTGCAGCATCAGTTCATGCGCCATATTCTATGGTGGATGCCTTCTCTACAGTGCGTCGAGAACGCAGCGAGTGGTTGCGCTTTCCTCAGCTGAGTCTGAGATTTACTCAGCAGCCTCAGGTGTGTGTGATGCAGTGCTGGTGTGGAGAATCCTATGTTGGATGACAGATGCACCAATAGCAATTCATTTATACCTGGACTCAGCGGCTGCTCGTGGAATCATGGCTCGACGTGGAGTTGGGAAAATTCGGCACTTGTCTTGCCGATGCTTGTGGTTGCAGACTTTGGTGGCTGCAAAAGACCTTGTTGTTTCTCCAGTTGCAGGAACAAAGAACCCTGCAGACCTTGGAACAAAACGGCTCAGTCCACACAGAATGCTTGGACTGATGTTTGTCATGGGCATGTATGACACAACGTTGAATGAGAAAGTTGGTGAAGAGGAAGCCCAAACCTTCCTTACAAGTGAGAGCGTGAAGAAAGCCATCAAGAGGATCAACTGCTGTGCGAAAGTGCCGCATCAGGCGCTACAGCTTATGCTTCTGGTGAACGCCTTGGGCCTTGGCAAGGGAAACGAAGAGTTTGAGACAGCAGCAGAACCAACATGGACACATGCGTTTTTCTCAATGCTCACTGGACTTCTATGTGCAATCGGTGGTTTGATTTTCCTAGTGCGAGCTGCTCAGCGTCGTCAACCACATGACGCTGTGCCCCAACAAGTTGCTGAAGTTCCAAATCAGCAGCGTGACCCTGCAGTTATGGAAGAGATGGAGACTGAGTCTGATGAACTGGACGAGACAGGCGAGCCAATTCTCAACAGTGAAAGAGGTACTGAAAACGCTCCTGCTTCAACAGACCATGCTGGAGATCTCGCAAGATTGCTTCGTCACCATGGAATCCCACCGGCGTATGCACGCTATTCGCCGGAGCACATGATCCTTTGGATGATCATCAGGGGGCAAGGACGAATTGCCCGTCATGCTGGGACAAACCGTGGGAGACTTTGGAAGTTGCGAGTTCGAGCTTTAGTAGAACTGCTTCAGCATGTACGAACGTGCACTGAGGCAACAGTGCGCCAGAGAGCTATGACAACGATGTTGGATGCAGGTGATTTCAGTTCAGATGATGACTCACCCTTTCGTGGTGATGTTCCAGATCATCGACACCAGTACATCAATGACGTTCAGCAAGCAAGGGACTTTGCTGATCATGTGATTAGCACTATGGGGCCTTCAGATGCCGGCCCAATTGACGATGTGATCGAGGCACAAAGACTCATGAACAACCCTGCAGAGGAGAACATGGAAGAAGAGACTCCAACGTCAGACGTTCCAATGGATGGTGATGAAAACAATTACCCAGAGATGATTGAGATGCACAGACAACGTCGCCGTGCTCTACACACTTTCAGAGTAAATCGTGACGCGGCTCTTGAGTTGGGCAATACAGAAGAAGCTGCGTACTGGGAGAGTCAAGAGGACCAATTACTCCTTTTTTGATGTGCAAATGAAACAAGGGAGCTTGAGAGAAATGCGCTTCCATACGGATGCTTTCAGCTCTAACAATGCTGAACCTGAGCGTGGATGAGAGAGCTTAGTCTGTTACGTGACAAGCTGTTGTTTCTACTCAGTGCTATGCCTGTAAGGCCCTATGCTTTGGAGCTTACACGAAGCTCACTTGCAGGCAAAGGCACACAAAAGGTTAGAATTTGTGTGAAACAACTTCACACCTTCTGGCCGTAAAACTCAAGTTGTTGCTTCCACTTAGCTGTAGGCTTTTGGTAGCTTCGACGTGTCAAGCTGTTTTGTTTTCCAGTGACGTGCACAGCTGGGTGAACCTTGTTTTGCTTTTGGTTTTGGCGTCTGTGCACAAAGCAGAGTTGTATCGCAGTCCTCAAGGGACAAAACGATACAAAGGCGGGGTGATAAGTATTTCGCCACATAGATACTGTATAGATATGTATACAAAACTACATAAACAGCTGAAACCAACTGTTCTTATCAGTGTGACAACTCACTGATTTGGTGCACCATGAATAGCATGGATGACAGATGTTCGCGCAGGCGTTTTGGAACCAGGAAAAGAATCAGTTCCACAGCAATGAATTGCTAAGCGAGCTAAGTGTCTCACGGAAGAATCGCTAAACTTTGCCCGAATGTTCTCCAAGTCTTCTGCCTCGAAGATGACAGTTGGATATCACAGTGGCTGCGATCTACCCCTGGCAGGGTTGATGATTAGTTCGGGGATTAGCAGCTACCCAACGTATTGGGGATGCTAATAATCCAAGAACGGGAAATCCCTATAAACCAACCAGGATTAAATGGAATGATAGAGGGATTCTGTGCTCAGGTGGCTGCGAGACACCGTTGATGATTGTTGGGGTGATAGTATCCAATCTATTGGAAGGAATCCCTGACAACCCACTGGTTGGTGGTTTTAAACATTTTTTCCATAACATATGGGATAATCCTTCCCATTTACTTTCATATTTTTCAAGATGGTTAAAACCACCAACCAGCCCATCAGTGTAGTGAAGTCACAAAGGGTCTTGAACACTTCTCCAAAGGTCCGGTGATATCCCATCAATTTGGATTAAAAAAACAGCGATCTCACTGCGATGTCACTGAAGAGTCTGGTTGATGTAGTATAGGGATGTAGGGGGTAACTATCCCAAAATAACCTCGTTTCTGGTTAGTGAATACCTTAGAATGTATCCGGATCAATTCTGGCCGCGACCTTTTGTTCAAACAAACAACTGTTGGGCAGTTTTCTTTGTGATCAGAATTGTTTTTTCAAGAGTCACCATTTCAAAGAACACATCTTCTTGACTAGACTTAAAACCGAGAGATGAAGGCAAGTCACGTTGAGCGGCAAAAAGAGGTATAGCATGGTATGACTTGTCTTTTTTCTCGGATAAGTCTAAAGATAACCGCCCAGTAAGGGACCCTGAAATGAACAGATCCGATACGTTTCCACTAGGGTTTCTGGTGTTTGCTCTGCTCAGGGGCAGGCATTCCAATTTTTATCTGCCAGCTTTGTCCATAGAGAATATCCCAGTGTTTTTTCATGTTTGTTTCATCATTTTCCCCAAAGTTCCAGAAGAGCTGTCCCCCATAGAAGCATATTAAAGCATTAGTAGGTGATGGTGATATGCCCCACCCCCTTCCAGAATTTTCCCAATAGGACATCCTTGCTATGAGTGGTGCCCCAGTGATCTTTGTTGGTACCCCCATGAACTACACAATTACCACAAAACCTCGGAGTACGGTATACTTAACAAACAACTGGGGCACCTAGGACTAAAGCCATGACCCAAGCCACAGTCGTCCGAAAGGGTCGCCAGTTTCAGGTTCCCTTGCACGAAAGTCGGCAGCTCGAATCTGCTACGGGCGACAGTCTGTGGCTCGACTCTATGACTTTGATCGTGGCTGATTTTTAGCACGAAAGAAGATTGGGGATTATTTTCCATTGAACCCACAACCATTACCCTCTGGTTATTTAACATAGCCATGGAAAATGGCCCATTTATAGATGATTTTCCCAGCTCAACACCTCCATGTATAAGGGATTTCCCATGGCTATGTTAAATAGCCAGATTCAACAGATGGTACTATAAATGAATTTTTAGAAGAAGTCTTTGACACAAGGAGATGTAGTGGCGGAGATGGCTCGCCGTCCATGGTTGTTGGCAGTTGAGCTGGTGAAGCCGTGGATTTTTTGGAACTTGGGCATGCCACATGGAACCACATGGAACCCAACATGGGCTGTGTTTTTTAACTGCAAGATTGTTTCCACATTTCCCATCCACATCCGACACTTCCCATCCTAATTTTTCTATGGACTTTTTGAAATTCTTGGTATTCACCATCACTGGTTGGTGGTGACTGGAACCATGGAATTTATGACTTTCCATATATTGGGGATTTCATCATCCCAACTGACCAACTCATATTTTTCAGAGGGGTAGGGCTCAACCACCAACCAGACCATCAGGTCAGACTCCGTAGTCGACCGAGGTCACCTATATAGTGCCCTATATAAGATTCACGACTTACGTATCCCCTTCAAAGAAACAATTTTTTTTTAAATGTTTTTTTTGGGATGATTCTTCATTGCCACCAAACATGATAGTTTGCTGGAGTACAACTTTATGATTTGTTCTGGTTTGGAGAGATGTAACATAAATCCTATACTTATTGGAGTTATTTGCACCAACTTAGCCTAGCTGACAAACCTGTGCACCAACTTGCCCTTGGGTTGATAGTTATCTCGGGTATATAAATCCCCATTCTTTTGTAATTCAACGTTGCTATAGAAAATCACTTTGTTTGTTTACGGAATTGTAAATTATTATGTTTCTCATCTACAAATGAGTGATTGATTCCATAACTATGTTAAACCATTACACCCAAATGGCTCATTTGTTTATCATCTACAAATGTTTATCATCTACAAATGGGCCATTTGATTCCAAAGATCAAATAGTATATCACCGTTACACCGCCATTTTTGTTGACTAAATCCACCGCCACCACCGCTAAATCCGTCGCTTAAGAGGTGCGTGTCAGATGTGGCTGCCTTAATCGTGCGACATACGGCAGTGCCCAGCGATGAGCGGAAGGCGATGTTGGATTTAATGGGATTTAATGGGATTTAAGAGCGATTGTATGGCAATTTGTGATCATTTGTGTGCATTGGGGTGATTCATGGTTATTTTTGTGGGATTTTTACTTCCATGAGTTGGGATATGGATGGATATGGGACCCCTACAACTATGGGTTAGGAAAAATAATAACATTATGGTTCCACCCCCAAGTATGGGTCAAAATGTCAGATGGGCAATATGGGCCAAAACAGCGAAGACCAAACTGTTGGTTTTTCGCTGGTGGATGTTCATCAGCCCCAAACATGGAACAGGAGGTCCGCGAAGAAAATAGCTAAGTTGATGCAGCAAACTTGGTAAATTCTATGCCGTCAATGGGGGATATATGATGATATATGTTATATAACATATATAACACATATAACACATAAAACATATATAACATATATAACACATATAACATATATAACATATATAACATTTATAACTTTATATAACATATATAACATATATGACATATATGACATCTATAGCACATATAACATATATAGCATATATAACATATACACCACATATAACACATATAACATATATAACATGTATAACATATACACCACATATAACACATATAACACATAAAACATATATAACATATATAGCACATACAACATATGCAACACATATAACATATATAACATATATTTAACACATATAACATATATCACAAATATAGCATATATAACACATATAACATATATAGCATATATAACATTTATAACACATATAACACATATAACATTTATAACATATAAAACACATATAACACATATAACATATATAACAGATATAACATATATAACATATATAACAGATATAACATATATAACATTTATAACATATATAATTTATATAACTGATGTAACGAACTAGTCCATGGGCTTTACCAACATTGAAGCGTCCGGGGGCCTGACCTTCTTTTTGAGAGGCGCCCATCCCCTGACATCAAGTGGGTACCCAGGGGGTAGCCCCGGGCGAAAATCCACCAGAAGTGGATCAATGGATTGGTTTTCTTGGGAAAATCTTAACCGGAAACCATGGTTTTGAACCATCAAATATAGGGTTTTCCTGTAAAATTTCCCATGATCCAATTACCATGGTTTATAAAATGTTTTAGCCATCAAATCCATCAAATATAGAGTTATAGGGTTTTCCGGTGTAAATTTTCCCATGAAACAATTCTATGATAGGAGGCAAAATGGGATCATTGAACTAAATGGGGTCCAGCAAGCCACATGTGATCGCAATATATCACAATGAGATGGGGGCTCGATTTGACGGGTGAAACTTGCAGATATACAGATATATCTTGGGCATCACGACGATTTGCTAAGTGGAAAATGGAGGTTTGAAGAACTTGGGGTTGTGAATGCAGATGAAACATCAACCATTCGATGGGAATATTTTTTTACTGGGTAAGAAATATTCAGGGACATATTGACTATATTGACTAACTATATGATATATGATACATGGATATCTCCATAGATTGGGTATAACCCAAACGGCAATTAACGCTGCTTTTGTTGGACACTTAATTAACATCATTGACACATGGGGGAGGTCCATGACCATCTAATGGTGGGAAGTGAAGATGCAGGAACGGGGATATTCACCAACAAACACATAATATCCATATTAAGCAACAAGTAAGGGATTCCAGACATGATTACATACTGTACTAGAAATGGCCTCAAAAGGTCTCAACACATTTAAAGACCCAAATGCGTTTCTCGAAGGAAAATGGTTCAGCAGCCACTTGTTGGGACTAGCATCCACTAGCCAGCCATTTTACCCCAGGGTACTGAGCGGGTTTTGGCCCATAGCCAAGTACCAGAA